TCGTGGTAGGACAACGACAGATCAGGTCCGGGAGTTAAGTGCCATTGTACAGTCTGCTACGGATCGCACCAGAAACCTGGAACGAGACTCCCACCACCGAGACCAACTCATTAGAGACCTTCTCGCGGCTCAAGCAGAAACAAGAGAGTATCGGGAAAGATACATGGCACTCGAAGAGAGAATGGTTGCAGCCGAACGCAAATTGGCGGAACTACAGGGCGCATCGACATCATCGCAGCCTCCGTCAAAGAAGGGTCGCAGTGATTAGAGCTCGTTGCTATTCTCCCGTCTAGGTAGTAGAATTTTATGAGTACGCGTTGGTGCTACTCCTCGTATGTAGGTCGACCCTGCGATTATGTGATTACACTATTCAAAGGGGTTTTGTAATGCCAAAAAAAAAAAAAAAAAACTACCTTTGTAACGATGTAATGTAGACCCCTATGAGGTCAAACTTTTCTCTCTAAGCGTTATGTACTAAAAGTTATCAATGAAATTTGGCATGTATTTTATTTATTGAATGTTGGACACTATACATCATAACCTGATCACACAAACAATTACGAATAATAAAGTTATGATAAAATACAAAAAGGGGCACACTGCACGATTCTGTAGAACGACTACCCAACCCGCCACACAAGTCGCTACGACCGCCAACACTGGAGCAAGCCAAGCCTGCTATGGGTGTGGTGAAACGGGACACTTCAGGAGGAACTGCCCCAAGGCACGAGCCCCTAATGCTGGGGGTGTAGGGAGGGTCCTAACTTTAGGGCAGGGAGAAGCAGTCAAGGATCCCTCTGTGGTTACTGGTACGTTCCTCCTCAACAACTCTTATGCATGCGTACTTTTCGATAGTGGGGCAGAAAGAAGTTTCATAAGTCACCAATTCAAACATATACTTAAGCAAATTCTCAACCACTAGAAGATTCTTACATCGTAGAAATGGCAAATGGAAAAGTTGAGCGCGCTAATGATATTTACATAGGGTGTACTCTCACTCTAGACAACCATTTGTTCAAAATCGACCTTATACCGGTCACCATAAAAAGCTTCGATATAATCATTGGTATGGATTGGCTAAGCCTTCATCGTGCCGACATTCTATGTTACGAAAGGGCCGTCCGCCTCAATCTGCCGAATGGCAACGTTCTCACCGTTTATGGCAATAAACCTAGTGCGAACCTACAAATCATCTCTTGTGTTAAAACCCAAAAGTACCTCCGAAAGCAATACCATGTTTCTTAGCCCACATCGTAGATAAGAAACAGGAGGTGAAGGACATCAAAGAAATTCCAGAAGTATGCAACTTCCCTGATGTTTTCCCAGACGATCTGCCTGGTGTACCACTCGCAAGACAAGTTGAATTTCGGATCGACTTAATCCCAGGAGCTACCCCCGTCGCCAGGGCTCCCTATCGCTTAGCACCGGCAGAAATGCAAGAACTATCCAGCCAATTGAATGAACTATTGAGCAAAGGGTTCATCAGGCCAAGCTTCTCACCTTGGGGAGCACCAGTCTTATTTGTAAAGAAGAAGGATGGTTCTTTTCGTATGTGCATAGACTATCGAGAACTAAACAAACTCACTATCAAGAACCGTTATCCCTACCCCGAATCGATGACCTCTTCGACCAGCTCCAAGGAGCCAGCTACTTTTCAAAAATCGACCTGAGGTCGGGCTATCATCAACTGCGAGTTCAAGAAGAGGATATCCCCAAGACGGCATTCAGAACTCGCTATGGGCACTATGAGTTTGTAGTGATGCCATTCGGGTTAACTAACGCGCCCGCGGTGTTCATGGATTTGATGAATCGAGTGTGTCGACCCTTCTTGGATAAATTCGTCATCGTATTCATCGACGATATCCTGGTCTATTCGAGGAGCGAAGAAGAGCACAAACATCACCTACGACTAGTTCTGGAGGTTTTAAGGACCGAAAAGCTTTACGCTAAATTCTCAAAGTGTGAATTTTGGCTCCGAGAAGTAGGATTCCTTGGCCACGTAATAAGCAAAGAAGGAATACATGTGGACCCCTCGAAGATCAAAGCAATCGAAGATTGGTCAACACCTACAACGCCGACAGAAATCCGACAGTTTTTAGGACTCGCAGGCTACTATCGAAGATTCATACAAAACTTCTCCAAAATCGCTAAGCCTCTCACCACCTTGACTCAGAAAGGGGTGTGTGTTCGAATGGGAAGAAAACAAGAAGCCGCCTTCCAGACACTAAAGCAAGCCCTATGCAGCGCACCAGTCTTGTCTCTTCCAGAAGGAACTGACGATTTTGTGGTGTATTGCGATGCTTCAAATCAAGGCCTCGGCTGTGTGCTCATGCAAAGGGGAAAAGTCATCGCTTATGCATCAAGACAACTGAAGACACATGAAGTTAATTACACAACCCACGACCTTGAATTGGGAGCTGTGGTGTTCGCCCTGAAGATTTGGAGGCACTACCTCTACGGCACCAAGTGCACCATCTTCACTGATCACAAAAGTCTTCAACACATTCTCAATCAGAAAGAACTAAACATGCGCCAAAGAAGATGGGTGGAATTACTGAATGACTACGAATGTGAAATTCGCTACCACCCAGGCAAGGCTAATGTAGTAGCCGATGCCTTAAGCAGGAAAGAATACTCGGGTCGCCGAGTAAAATCCCTAGCCATGACCATCCACTCCCAACTGGCCACTCAGATCAAGGACGCCCAATTTGAAGCCCTGAAACCAGAAAAACGTGGCAAGCGAAGCACTAAGGGGGATGGATAAGAACTTGGAAGTCAGAGGGATGGAGCTCGTTATCTCATGAATCGAATCTGGACACCGAAGTTCGGTGGATACCGAGACGTTGTAATGGATGAGGCCCACAAGACTCGATACTCCATTCATCCGGGGTCAGATAAGATGTATCTAGACCTCAAAAGGTTATACTGGTGGCCAACATGAAGGCTGAAGTTGCTACTTATGTGAGCAAGTGCCTCACTTGCGCCAAGGTCAAGGTGGAATATCAGAAGCCATCAGGACTACTTCAGCAACCAGATATACCCGAGTGGAAGTGGGAGCGAAACCATGGACTTCGTAACCAAACTGCCTAAGACATCAGGTGGGATGGATACCATATGGGTGGTTGTGGACAGATTGACCAAGTCCGCGCACTTCCTGCCAATAAAGGAAACAGACAAGATGGAAAAGTTGACCAGGACGTACATTAAGGAGATCGTACGACTACATGGTGTACCAACATCCATTATCTCGGATCGAGATAGTAGATTCACCTCGCGTTTCTGGCAGTCCCTACAAAAGTCTCTGGGAACCAGGTTAGACATGAGTACGGCCTACCATCCACAAACGGACGGACAAAGCGAGAGAACCATCCAGACGTTGGAAGACATGCTGAGAGCCTGTGTGATAGATTTTGGTAAGGCATGGGATACCCATCTACCGCTTATCGAATTCTCTTATAATAACAGTTATCACACTAGCATTGGAGTCGCCCCATTCGAAAGCTCTACGGCCGCAAGTGTAGGTCGCCACTGTGTTGGGCCGAAGTTGGAGATACTCAGCTAGCCAGAGGGCAAGTCCCTGATAGCCACCCTTACGGGGCCGGAAATCATAAGGAAACCACAGAAAAGATCATTCAAATTCGGGAAAAGAGACTAAAAGCGTCTCGTGATCGACAAAAGAGTTACGCGGATAAGCGACGCAACCTTTAGAATTCCAGGTCGGAGACCGGGTACTACTAAAAGTTTCCCCCTGGAAAGGGGTGATACGTTTCGGTAAACGGGGGAAACTAAACCCAAGGTACATCGGTCCGTTCGAGATCCTTGCTAGGATT